GTACTATTCCTTTAAGGTCTGTGTCTGAGAATCTGATTCGTCATGTTTCATACTTCCTGTTTTCATACTGGTCACTATCAGTGTTTTTCTATCTATCTGGGCTCCAACAGGATCCCTTTTTGATATTGTGTGCAATAATCCTGTATAATAATAATGATTAAAAAAAAGCTGAGCTATGTGGAGGCATTGCATATACTGTATAGATCCCATGCACCTTTTCCTTGCTTTGGCAACTTCTTCTTCTCTTTTTGACTATTTGAGCTGATGGAGCGAGTACATTTCTCCACTGTGAGATCAATAAAGCCAACCAATCAATCAAATTTCCTTTTTTCAGCTTTTATTGTCATTCCACTGTCACAAGTACAGAGCAACGGAATTAACTCTCTGTATTTAATCCATCCCCTTGGGGAGCAGTGTGGGGTTAAGGGTCTTGCTCAGGGACCCAGAGTGGACGCTGTGGAAGTGGTACTCACACTCAGAACCTCTAGGATCCAAGCTCTATAACCTGACCACTAGGCTGCACCGCTGCAGCTTTTATGTAACCTTTTTTTCAACATATATAGAAGTAACAAGCTAGTAGGGACAAAGTACAGATATTAGTGTTCAAATGTAGATAGAAGATGTAAAAATCCTTAAGAAAATAAGCAGTCAATTAAAGAACAGATAGCAAGAAAAGCAATGAAGTATTTATGATTAGTAAGTTGAAACCTCTAGTATCTATATGGCTGACATCGGTTTGATTATGTTTAGAGCTGGGTTACTCTAACTCCACCTGGAGCATAAAACCAAATGTTTCAGAAACACGTCTAGAACAAAAAAACTTCTTTTGAAAAAAAATCTGTGTATACAAAAACAAAAAAGGAATAGAATATAGACCATGTGACAAAGGCAGAGCAACAGCTTTCTGTACATTTACAAAAAACAACTAAACATTAAATGAATATATTTCAATGTTCATATGAATTTATAGATATTTTCATAATTTTTGAAAATGCAAACAAATATGATGAGCTCCAATTTCTATGAAAATTCAGAGAAAATCTGCTTTAATTTAAAAAATGTTTACATTTCTAGTAGTCAACTAGGGGGACTGGAATATTAAACTGACTTTAACCTGCAGGTGGCAGCAGCAGAGAGTGTGCTGTACATGGGGAGAAGAAGAAGAAGCCGGACTGTGCAGCTAGCAGCTGTTAGCATTAGCTTTAGTTTCCGTGTGCTAGCAGAGAGGCTGCTAATGTGTGAGTGTTTGCAGTGAGAATGTGTTGAGTCCAGCTGGAAGGAGAGTTTGTCAGCGAGCAGTTAACTCCTGCTGGAGAAACATTCCCAGAGTTTAAAGGAAGATTAGATCAGATCGAGGAGGA